TCTGCTTACAACAGTCTTTTTGAATTATAATGTCATTGAAAATTCCATTTTGCCTTTGCTAAATGCTGGAAGGTTTCCCAAACAACGATGCGAGAAGGAAACAGCTGTTTTCTGCAAGGCAGAGATGTGTGCAGAGAAATTGTAAACTACCATAATTCTTCAATACTGTACAAGAAAGGCTTTAGAATCTGTCATATACTCTAAGTGATAAGTGTTTGTACAGCACCTAGCAGAGTGGTTTTTTGACACTTTTTTTTTTTTTGCTGCTATTCCAATTTAAATGTTAGTAATGGCAATCATACAATGCAAATATATTCCAGGTCATGTAAAGGCATGTAATTAGCGGTTCACACATGTCTTTTTAACTGTTATAATCAATGGAAATTTTATTAATGCAAGTAAGGACAGTAGGGTTTGGTGCCAAAATGTCTAGCTTTGAAATGCCTGAGCGCTCTGGCGTGTGATTACTGGCAGGCTAAGATGCTGTGTGAGAGGGGGGTATAATGAGCTTCTGCTAAATTCTCCCTAAATTTCTTCTCTCTTCCCAGAGCAGAGTGGAATTGTATTACTGTGATGATACCTGAACTCCCACTGGAAACCAGTGGGGTGGGAATTAAAAAAAGATGGTTTTCTCTGCATTAGCTGTTTCAAGGGATCAACATATGTAATTGTAAGGTTCCTGGGCATGTAGGGAGTTCTGCTTATGCAGGAGTTGTTCTTGCATCCTGTGCAGATAGATGCATCCCCCAGCTGATGTAGTTTGGCCCAGATATGGTGTCAGTTGGGAGCTCTGCTCAAGCTGAAGTAGTATCGCTTCTGCTTGAACTTTCCCGTGCCACATGGACATGTCTGATGGAGAGGCAAGAAGGGATTTCCTAGGAGTGCTGAGAGGGCTGTAGCAGCCCTCAGGGATGGCGTCTGTGTGCACTTGTCTTATCACTTAATAGCAACCACAAAATTAGGGACCTCTTCTTATTTGGGGATGATTGCTTTCACCCCACGTACATCCTGGCAGGTTGATGGGAAAAGAGAAATAATACAATCTGTGAGAACTTCTGAATGGCCCTTTTTTAATGGTTATCATTGACCAAGACAACTGGTAACTTGTGTCCTTCTCGTGTGACTCATCATTGCCCATGGATGCTGAGAATGTGTTGACTTTAGCTGCAACAAATCACAGTGGGGAGAAGATTCATATGGGTAGAAAGAGCACACTGAGGTGCAGGTGGTAGTGTCCAGTGCAAGTGGGGTGTGCGGGCCAAGAAGTGGCTGATTTTGTGACCAACAGAGGAGAGTCTTCTGTTTTCCTCTCTAAGGAAAATTTTGGGAGCACCAGTTAACTGCAGTGTGCCAAGAGGCAGGATCTCTTGTAGATCTTGAACTTGTCATAAAATCATGGTGGTGCAGTACTTTAAGCTCTGACATGGGAATCCATAGCTGGAGTTTGTCTCCCCAGCTAGCACCTCATCCAGCTAAGCCCCTACAAGGGACAGAGACAGAGACCACAACAATAGCAGCTCTAGTGAAGCACCAGCAGCTGCACGGGTTGCTGCCCGCCTGAATGGGGGGGGGATTTCTTCCCCTAGAAAGCCAATGGTGTAGGAGTTCTGCTGTTTGAGGGATGTGTTATTTTACACTCTTGATTGTATGTACTTGAATACATTATACAGAGACTCAAATTGCCACGAGATGCTTTTGTAGAAGTGCAAATAATAATATTGCAGAGTTGTTGCATCACTGAAAGTGGCCCAAGTCCAAAGCAGGATTTGGTTGTGTGCTTCAGGCGGTAGGGTTATGTGCTTGTACCAGATGGAGACTTTAAATTTTAATCAGCAGGTTTATAAACACAAAGAATATCCTTTTAACAGCCCCCAGGTCTTTTACTAATAAGCTGCAAATGCTGAACTTCAATTAGCATGGAGTGGAGGCGCAGATGAAATAATATACATTCTTACTGATGATTATCCATCATGTGAGGATGAAGTCAAGACATGAGTAATGATCTCTCTCAGTTTGGGGGGCTTTTGTTTGTTTGGGGATTTTTTTTCCCTTTAACACATGTTTTGGTAGTGTAAATGAGTGAAAATAGCTAAAAATAATTTGGACCAGTTCCTCTGGTGGGGAAACTCCATTACAGGTGAAGAGAGTGCAAGTCTTCAGTCCTGCTCATCTTTGCATTGACTTCTGTAGATGTTAGGTCAACCCAACACAAGGGTCTGTGACAGCTGTGTTGTTAAGCTTGCTGTGGAAGGATTAAGAGCTTACAAAACTACATTTTTCCTGCTGCTGAGGGCTGACTGAGCTTTGAAGCAACACTGCTGTGCACTATCAGGGAATCCCAGCTTTCTTTAGGAGTGTAGGTTCATGGAGAGGGAAAGGGATTGATTAGTTTAATGCTGCCTTTGCCTTTAGCAGCATGTTTTCTGGCCTGCGTGGTGTGCTTGAGTGCTGTACGTGTGCCCCAGCTGAGAAGCTCTTTCTGGACCCTGCAGGCATCCAGCTACTGGGCTTGTGCCCTGCCGTTTCTAAATTGTTCACATTTGTGCATTACAACAGCGGTGTCAGCTCTTCAGAGGGTGTCGAGGAAGAACCTCTACCTCGACTGATAGCTTTTAGGGAGGAAAAGGGTTGAGTGTCTTTGCAAAGATCAGTTTTGGCACATAGTTTGAGAAGGTATTGGGAAATTGTCAGGAAAGCTGAGGAAAGGTGCAACTTTGTGGGATATAGATTGGTTCTGGGAATTCTGTGTCTCACTTTTCATGTCTTGCCTTAAGAAGGCTTTGCTGGACAAGTAATCCACTAAGAGGATAGGGCCTACTGTAGAAAAATGGAGATATGTAAATTTGAATCAGTAAGTGAAAGAAAACTGTTCTCCCAGTAATATAATTTGAATACTTTCTGACTACTCAAACCCCAAAATAATACCCTTGAAATACTTACTGGTCACTTCTTTGGTGGATTATGCTTCAACAGAGGATGGCTGCTTTATAGGTCATACTGGTTTAGAACATGATAAATTAGAATCATTTAAGTTGGAAATGACCTTTAAGATCATTGAGTCCAACTGTAAACCTGACACTGTCAAATCCACCACTAAACCATGTCCGTAAGTGCCACATATACACATCTTTTAAATACCTCCAGGGATTGTGACTCAACCACTTCCCTGGGCAGCCTGTCCCAATGCTTGATAACCCTTTCAGTGAAGACATTTTTCTTAATATCTGATCTAAGATTGCGGGAGAAAGGCAGAACAGTATTGCAAAGGTCTCCCCTGACACCATGAAACCAACAGGATTTTGCTCCTCCTGGATCATGTAGGTTGAGATTTGTAGCTGGAGGCAGCTGCTGCTCTTTTACAAAATACAGCTGTGAGCTGTGTGTAAGAAGTAGCAAGGTGACAGCATGGCACAGGGGTTTGCAATTGCCACAGGAGTCTGAGCGCAAGTGCCTCTTGATTGAATTGACAGAGATGCATGGGGCTTCAGTTCTAACTTAACATAGGCACCAAGGCTGAGGGATTATTGAGGCAAAATGGACCTGTTCTCTTTGATTATCTCTGATTTGCTACTCTGATGGCATATATCGATGCTAAAAGAAGGCCACTAAGCTTTTCTTTGTACTGCATTGGAAATGACACATTGCAAGAGGAGGAAAAGTTCTATTTAAAATTGCAGAATTGGAGATGAAGTGAAATTGAAAAGAAAGATCAAAGATATAAAGTAGGAGGAGGAAGAAAGAAACAATGTACAGTATGGCTGCACAGACATCTTAATTTCATTTTAATGGATCTCTGACCACTCAGGTAGGAAAGGGTAGCTCTTTGTGTACTGGGAGGGAAAGAAGAGCCTTCTGCCACTGTACTGAGATTTCCTTTGAACATGGTCTCTTACCAAAATGAAGGACTGCACTCTGCTTCATATTTCACAGAATTAAAAAAGACTGAGCTATTGTCTGACTCGCTGTATCCTGCTTATGTAACTTGCAGATGACGACTGTGCAACCTCTGGCTGAGCCCTGGAAAATTTTCTTGTCGGTGACTCAGGTGCTTGGCAAAACAGGCTGGCATGGTGCACTTGGAGATGAGATTGCAGTTAGAGGCACTCCCTGGGAACCAGAGCCCAATTCAAGGTCTCTTTGTGGAGGCTGTCCCTGCTAGAAGCTGTGTGTGGCTCACTGATCATCCTGGTCGTGTTACTGCCAAGTGTCTCTGTGCTAATGCTGTATTGATTACGTGCAAGTACAAAGCATCCCCCTTGATTGCATTGGAGAAGAAGAGAACCACAGCCCTGACTGTTGTCGAGAGATGTGGGTCAGCAGGGAAGGAGAAAAGCTGGGCAAGAATGAGTCCTTGGCCTTTACATAACTTTTATCTATAAAAATTCCAGCTGGATGTAGGGAGAGTGTTTAGTGCAGCTGGGCTGCAAAAATGGGACTTCATGGGGAAGCACAAGGTCACGTTTTGCAGGCCCCATTCCCAAACTCTGTGCAGTCACCATAATAGTGTTGGTTTGGAGGCTCTAGATCTGTCTGAAAGCTGGAGGACAGGACAGTACATTGTGCTATAGGAGTAAATTGAGAGCTATGAAAAGGAAAGGATTAGACCTGGGGATGAAGGGAGAAAACTGAAAAAGAGGCAGAACTGCTTCAGCTGCAAACTAGACTTCCCTGTGGGTCAGCTGTCATCTCCAGCAGCAGGAGATCCCAAGTTCCACCTCTTTGGAAGTATGACTGAGAGGAGCCAGAAGGTCTGTACTACCAAGTAGATTCAGTCACTGTGGAGGGTTGAGGCTGGGACAACTGTGAGATCTCCAAATACAGCTCGTCTTATATGAATCTATGCAGCAGGCCCCTCTGGCAGTCCAGCCAAGTTTAAAGCAGTACTTAGGTTGCTCCTGCATAGAGCCCGTTTGCCAGACTGCAGTAAGATGCGACAAAAAAAGATTTTGCCATAGGGGTGACCTGGTGACTAATGAGTTTCACTGATCTTGTGCTTGCAGGAGAAAGCAACCTACCCTCTGCAGTTCCTGCGAGCTTTGATGCTGGAGGCTCTGAGAAAGCAAACGTGAGCTGTTACCCAACAGCAGGGCTGTGTGAGCCCACTGAACCTCATGATGCTGCTCTCTCATGCGTGTATGAACATGACAGTGCAGAAGATACCAGCATCAGGAAATCTCTTGATGGCTTCTACAAAATATATTGCAAAAAACAGCCAGACAGAAGGGATCCCACCTATGAGGCTGCATCACGATGTCTGTCACAGAAGATTTCAGAGCTAGCAAACCAGAGTGGAACAAAGTATGTGTCACGTTGCCTGCAAATGGCCCAGGTGGTCTTGAACAGAGATGGGTGTAAGATCTTTCCAAACCATCCAACTACTGCTTGTTTTTCAAAGCCACCTGAAGGAGAAGTCACGTTGGAAGACACAAAGAGAACACCTGGACTCTCAGATGATGTCCTGCAATTCCTCTTGAAACAAACACGGACAGAACATAGCCCTGATGTGTCACATGAGAAGTGAGCAAGACGCTGGTTTGTTTCTGTTGTTGGAACTTTGCTTTCAGTCTGAAAAGAGGTGACTGTCTTGGAAAGAACACTGTTCCTCTTAGCACCACCTTCAACACGACATGTTCCATGGAGGGGTTCATCTGGAGCAGACCTTGCCACCTTGGTCTCTGCAGGGCAGCACCTCATAAGAAGCATCTGTGGTCTCCATGTGACTGCTTGGGATGGGTGACAAGTGATACAGTGTCTGTTGCTGGGACATCAAACATGGTGATCTATACCTACCAGGATTTTAAATTGACCTTTTTCCCTACCCAGCTGAACAGTAGCCCAGCCCAATTTCAGGCCCTCTGTAGGCATGTCCAAGTGCTGTTGACTGTAACAGACTAATTGAACAAGTGTGGCACGGTATGCCCCAGACCTAGGGAGGAAACTTAAGATATTTTTCTGTACCTGACTAATTCTGTAACGCCTGTGCCTCCATGGGAATGCCTGATAGCTGTGTGTTTACCCAAAGAGATATGATCCCACAGATCGTGATTGCAGTGTGGGTGAGCTTCTTTGACAGAAAAGGTGTGTGTATGCATGAGAGAGAGAGAGGAAATACAGCTTCTGAGCAGTTGTGGGTTTGGTTTTTTTTTTTAACAGGAGGTATAAAAAAAAGAGAAAGAAAAGCTTTATCGCCTTAGTGATGTTTCTAACACTTGAAATGCACCAGCTGAGCAGACTGGGGATTTTTTCCTATATATGTGAGGTGGTTTAAGAGCAACCTGAAATAGATTAATGAGTGAGGGCTCTGCAGAGATGTCCATAGGGAAGCTGCAGAGTTGATGCCACCTCCCTGATAGCTGCCTGCTCTAAGATGCAGAGTACCTAGGAAAAGCCGAGCTCGCAGATCAGCGTGCCCAAGACTGTGGATCACTTGGTTGATGCTGTAGGGGCAATGCTGCTTTCTCCAGCTCTCTCCCTGCCTGTTAGCCCCTGCTGCTTTCTGCTACCGTAGGGGCTGAGCCCAGCGCTTTGACAGAGAGGAAGCCAATGCTCATGGCTTGAGTATACTCTGTTATCTTCATTGGCACTGCACAAGACCTTGTGATTACTTTCCTGGTGTGTTGATGGATGAGGGAAAATGTTCTGTGAGATGGTTGAACCATGGAGGTGGTTGCTTTGCAGTAGGGATCATCTGGCACTGGTTGGTTGCAGAAAAGTTTTGCTTCTTCTAACAAGCTCTGCTGCTGCTGTTTTTACCCAGAACTTTCTGGCTCTGGTTTTAGTTGGCAAGATCACCGCTGGCTGCAGTGGGAACTGGCCCAATGCACTGGTTGCCCAGCTTGGGTTTCGGTGACTGTTGCTTGCCCTATGACATTAAGACTAATTCCCAGCAGTTGATTTTGGTCACTGCCACCTGGGGAATTTAAAGTGCTCTGGGTCTGATGCATCACTATGAATTTGGCAGGCTTAATTCTCCTTTGCTTTGTGCTTATGGAAACCAGGAGTGAATCCCAAGGAAAAATAGCTGCATGAGGAATGTGGGACTGGGCTCCCACTGCCTAAGCCTTTGTGGGAAGGGTGCTGCTGTCATGCAAGACTGCAGTTCAGGCCACTCTGCTCAGCATGTGGGAGCCCTTTGAAGTGGTCAACCAGGAGCAAGCAGAGCTTCCAGTCCTTCTCTGGACAGGTTGTCAGTCATTAAAGCTATGCTTTGCTGTCTGCAGTTATAAATGTTCTCTTCTTGAATGAGGTATCAGGCTCTAAAAGAGACACCTGGGTTGGGGAAGATAGTTAGGTGGTAGTCATTACCAGGGCTGCCAAGCCCACTGCTTTGATGTAGCTTTTACTTTGTTTGACAGCTTGCTTGGGGGGGTTTGCAAGTCAAATAAGCTTTCTGGAAAAAAAAATTGTTTTCTCCAAACTTTTATTGTTAGATTTTCATTAAAATTTGGAATAAACCTAGTTATTTTATGGCAGATTTTCATATTTTAGGTGCTTACAGAAGAGCTCAGCTGGACAAATTAGGCTCCAAAATCCCATTGATTTTTAATGATAACAAAACAAGCTAAATGTTTAGGGGAGTCTGACAGTCTTGTCAGCTATCAGGTGTTAGGAGCCAAAACGTGATAGAGTTTAGAATACCTGGATCATTCCTACTGTGAAATTAACAGCTCCATTTCTGGAGAAATGCTTAATTTTAGGAGATGTTTCACTGGGATCTTACAGTTCAATCACTTTTATTAAGTTAAACAAGACAGCATCACAGAGAATAACACTCATGGCTCCTTTTCCCACTCACTGCTAATTAAGTTTTTACAAACCTGTGCTGGAACCTGCTGTATGTACTTCCAAGTCTGCTGAAAGCCAAACCATTTCTATTACTCATTTCCTTGATAAACATCTCTCCTCGATTTCTTCAAGATACGGGGAGATGAACACATCTCTCTCCTTTGCCAGGTGTTCCAAGCAAGACTCACCAATTGCTTTGAATAGGCTGTACTTTAAGGGAACACAATCCTATTTGGCATTTTATGATATTACACAGAAGAAATTGTAATAACAATTATTACTTCTGGCGAGCAATAGCACAGGGGGCCTAACTTATGGCTGTTTGAAATTCTTAAGCTGATTTACAGTTACAACTAAGATGCGCTGCTTTGGAATTAAGTTGGAAAATTTTTGTGGGTTCTTTGCTTTTTTTGTGTGTTGCTTTTGGGACTTTTCTCAGCCTAACAGAGGGGAGTCTACCCACTTTCTGGATCCACTAAACTGCTCTTTCACAGACTACTTCACCCTATTCTTGCAGTGGAGTCTTCAGAGAGGTGGAAGCAGCTTTCAAGGAGCAATCAGCTTAAAATGTGTAGGGCTGCCAGGATCCAGTGTCAAACCAGTCCTCAGCATTGCAGAGTGGGACGGCTGTGTAACAACACCAACACGCCTCCCACCACTGCAGACACAGCCACGGGTGCCTTGTCTTCTGCTGCCAGTTGAAGAGGCACGAACTTTGCCAGAGTTGCTGCCCCCCACAAACAGCAGTGTCCAGCCAGTGATGGGAGAGGGAAGGAAGACAGATCCCAGGAAGAGTGAGAGCACAAGGAAGAGGAGGAGGGATTTGACAGGGAAAACTGCCCCAGGTGTGCAGGTGAGTGAGTAGGTGCTTCAAGTTGAGCTTTTGGGCAACTGCTCTCCTGGTCATTACCCCCCACCCCAGCCACTCACCCTGTGGACAGGGAAAGGAGGCAGCCCTTCCTGGGGTAGTGAGGCTGTCCCAACATGTCAGAGTGCCCCCAGGCTCCTTCCCTTGACAATTTAAAGACAGCTTGACAGCACTTCTGTCCTGTTCCCCTCCTCACCGCAACCCCTTCACCAGCCTCCAGTTCCTTTCTGTCTTTCATGATGATGCTAATGAGATCCATGGAGGGGTTTTCCCTTTAAAATGAAACAGATCTCTCTGAGGCCAAAGAACCTGATGTCAGTCAGCAACAGAACAGTGAACCCACACACAATTGCTTAAGGTCTCTCTGTTGGAGGCCTCCTATCTCCTGGCTCAGTGGCTTCTTTGCTGCTTTACTCCCTCTGCCAGGAAGACGTGTGCCTTTGTGCATGTTTTCCACCCAAGCGTTTGTCCACTGAAGGGGTGGTTTGCTGCGGGTGATGTTGCTTGCTGACTGGGGAGGCCATTCATTCCCCAGTGTGGACGCGTTCAAGGAGGCACAGGGGGCAAGAGAAAGGGATGTGCTTATGGTGACAGCGTATGGGCAAAGAAGAAAGAAGAAAGGACAGTTGGTATCTCAAAGGTCAACACCAAGGCCCCAAGCTAATGCAGTTACTGCAGTACGGCCACACCACTTGCACCAGTTTTAGCACTTGATGTTCAGCATTTCAGTCTGGAGATAGCTCTTACTCTGCCAGCCGAGCTGCTGAGACCTCTCATCTGTTCCCTTTCTGCACTGGCCAGATCCCAGCATGGGCGTTTGTGTTTAGTGCACATGAGATTCCCTGCTGCAGTTTCACGTGGGGCCACTATTCCTTCCTTACTGCCCCTGGCAGATTGGCACAGCTGCTGTGCGCTGCAGGTGTTTCCAGCAAAGGCAATGGAAATTTGGCTGCTAACTTTAAGCAGAGCAGGAAGAAGTCCTGCTGGCCCAGTGGGCTGCAAGTTATGGCCAAGTTCTTTGGACTTGGTACAGAGTCTCTCTTTGCTAACAGATTTATACTTGAACTGTCTGGGTTTTGGTTGCTGTCCTTGAGTCATTGTGAAACGGATACATCTGTCTTAATGATTTTGCTTGATGTGTTGCTTGCTTGCTTTTATGGCAGAGGTGCTGTAAATGTGCTGGAGGGCACACAAAATATTGGAGGAAAACACTCAGCTACTCCCCCAACTACTCAAGTTAATGGTGCTAGGGGGGAAAAAAAGTTGAGATGAGGATCCAACATAATTTCTGTAGTAGTAAATATATCCACAGGTGCTGGTCTGTCAGAATCCAGAGAAAAGCATCCTGCAGGCTAAAATTATGGAGAAAGGTAACACCAACTATTTTGGCAATGGATACAGCTGGAAAAAACAAATGTGCTCTTGAGTGTGCTCTCAATAATTACAGTAACAGTAGTAGCCTCTCTTTGACAGCTTCCATTGCTTCACCACCACAGATCTGTCACAGCTACAAGGGCATTAATACTGACGGATGTAGTAGAGGGTCAGGGAGGAAGGAAGGTCTTCAGTGTGAATCAGATGTTGTTGCCTTATAATTTTTTGCCAGCATTTGTGCTTTTCCACATGGTTAAATATGAGTTGCTGTGCAAAATATTTTAACTGCCATTTTAAGGGAAATAAATAACCTCCCAGAAAGAGGGCACAGGAGAAGTCAGAGGACTGCATCTAAATCCCTTCAGTTGTTGTACTGGGTTTGGTGATGAATTGGTCTGTGCTTTGGATTAGCCCTGGTCTCCTATTCAGATTTTTTAAAAAAATAAGAAAAAAAAAGTCAAACCCATACAATTTCCACAAAGAAAGGTCGGAGC